ACCAAAGAGTATGAATAGACTCTACCCTTTCTGGCAATGCAACAGTTGTGCTAAGATGTTAAATCAACAAACAGAATCGTTTTCGCAAGGACTCCTGTCTCCATTAACCACACGTCCGTGTGATGAACATGCAAACCACGGCAACTGTTGGCACGTGATGAGTTTTTGTTGTTTTTAATCTGCATCACTGCATTCACGCCGAGACACTCGCTGCATTGTCTCAGTACGTGGTGCAACGTTATTGACGACAGCGGACGGCAACGCGAGAGAGCAACTGGAGTCAGATCGACCGCTGTCAAGGGGGAATGACAGGGTGCGGATTAGTGACACAGATCGACCCGAGACAGATTGACAGGACACAGATTGACGGGACACAGATTGACAGGACAAAGATTGACAGGAGACAGATTGACAGGACACAGATTGACGGGAGACAGATTGACAGGACAAAGATTGACAGGAGACAGATTGACAGGACACAGATTGACAGGCGACGCGTGGATGCCTTCACTGCGGTAGACAAAGTCGATACTTCACCTGCACCCGGGCGATTCCTGTCCCAGCGAAGCACCGGACAGCGCCAGGAGCAGCAGAAGCAGCAAAGTGAACGCGCAACTCGACAATGCTGCCGAGTCAATCTGCCCCCAGTCAATCTGTCCACCTACCGGTCAACCACCACACCCCCTTTTATATCCTTGACTCGCCTCGAAAATAAACACTGCGCAAAACTCCCGTCACCCTGGGACCAGATCCCCTGCCCCCATCCACCCTCTCTCTGTCCCTCCACCCCCTGACCACCCACCCACTCCACCTACCCCACCCATCCCACCCACCCCATCCACCAAACCCACACCGCACCGCACCCACCCACCCACAACACCAACCCAACCCCAGCCACCCCAGCCACCCCACCCAACCCCACCCAACCCCACAGACCCCAGGGGAGGGACTAGAAGAGCGATGCGGTTAGCGGTGGCTAATTGGCGACATCGACTGAGCCAGGGTGGCGAGGCGACCACGTGGCCCCGTGGGGTAATCGAGATGATGCCGCTGTTGTAGGAGAGGGAATTGATAGTGGGGGGGGGGGGGTGGTGGAAGTGGGGAAACAGGGGAAGTGGGGGGGGGAAGGGAGCTTTGTTTGCGTCACGTAGAGGAACGCGTGGGGGGGGGGATTGCCCGGGTTAGAGAGAAATAGAGAGAGAGAGTGACACAGAGAGAGAGATGCACACAGAGCGAGAGACACAGGGAGAGGGACAGGGTTAGATAGACACAAAGAGAGAGAGACACATAGAGACAGAGAAAGACAGAGACAGAGGCACATACACATACGGAGTGTCGGAGGCTATGGTAATCACTGCCTGGTGTATGTTGTGTTCTCTGGTAGCCAGGATATCTCAATACGATGCCTCCTCAGCCATCCAGTCACCACCACTGTTGAAAAATAAGATTGTTTTTTTTTTTCCATTTCGTTTCAAGTTACGATTACAATGTCTCGCAAATGAACCTCAGACGAAAAACATCTTTGACTTAAAGCTTTGGTAACTGCAGGAATTCATATTCGTGGCTCTTTCGGTACCGAAAGAGCCAAGAATATGAACCTCAGACGTCTACATCGTTAGACCTCCTTTGCCAGTACCAAAATGTAATAATAGAGGTTTTCCCCTTTTTTCTGACAACAAAACTGAAACCTTTTTTTTTGCAAGGATTCATGTCACCGCATTAACCACAAGCTGTGTGACGCCTTTTGGCGTCATCTGGTCGAGCACCAATTGGGTCGAGGGGCTCAAAACAAAGCCGTCCCTTGGTCTGGACCAATCAGTTTCAAGGACAATGCATCATCATATATTATCATAGTATGTTTTTTGTTTGCATTTTGACTGCAGGTATTGTGGTTAATGCAGTAAACATAAATCCTTGTAAAAAGGTTTCAGTTTTGTTGCCAGAAAAAAAGGGGAAAAACCTTATTATTAAACCTCAGACGTGTTTGGGTTTTGCATTTTTATTTTTGTTATATTAGCGAGAGGTTAAACTATTTCTTTTCCAGATTGGCAGGAACGACACCCACACACACACACACACGTTGACCCATGTATTGCTAACCAACTGGCTTGTGATCTACTATGTGTAAGGTGCCTTTATCGACTTCTACGGCTTCCCTGTAACGCAGAGAGAGATATGCACTGTCGCAAACACGAAGATCCCTGTATAGCCTGCGCAGACTGTTGGGGCAAAGTGCTGTTAGCGAGCAGCAACTATGAAGGGCGGCACTGTTGCACACGTGCGGGTGGGTTAAAGGTAAATTAAGCCAACGCCGGCACTGCGGATTCCACTTCCATCTGGGAACGCGTGGCGCCCCCAATGCTCAACTGGCTTGTGATCTACTTTGTGTAACGTGCCTTACTCCACTACTACCGCTCCCCTGTAACACAGCGAGAGACGCACTGTCGCAAACACAAAGATCCCCACAAAGATCTTCCGATTCAGAATTGGACTCCTCAGCCACCTCAAGAGCCACCACCAAACCTGATGGACGTCGTCTTCGAACCCCGAGGGACTGCCAACGACTCTGTGTGAGTCCATGGATGCATATTATTTCGATTTTAAGCTTTCGTGACTGCAAGGATTCATCTTCTTTGGTTCTTTCCGTAAAGTCACGTAGAATGATAATAAAATAATACATTAATAAAATAAAATAACACAATAAAATTCTCACGACGTTTCGGCCACAACATATGTGGCCTTCATCAGGTGAAGGGACGAGACTGTCTCGCTCCAGCGCTGCCCTCGAGACAATCTCGTCCCTTCACCTGATGAAGGCCATTTGTGTTGTGGCCGAAACGTCGTGAGAATTTTATTGTGTTCTTTTATTTTATTAATTTATTCTCATTCTACGTGACTTTACCAAAAGAACCAAAGAATATGCATATTATTGTACGGTTCAATCTTGATTTGAAGCTTTCGTGACTGCAGGAATATCTATATTGTTCTTTCGGTAAAGTCACGTAGGTAGAAAAAAAAATATTTTTTATATTTCTACCTACGTGACTTTACCGAAAGATACAACATGCATGTTGTATGTACGTACTGTATGTTGGAACCGTACGTAGCCAACTGTGCTAATCGGAGGTGCTGCTCGCTAACAGCACTGTCACAAATAGGAGACGAAACGTTTTGCCCCTTAGAGCCGCCTGTTAACAGACTTGTTAGCGAGCGCCAATTGGAACCCGCATTGTACGCGACAGGCACACACGCGTATCGCGCACGTGCAAAAAAAAAAACACTCTCGCACGCTGGCACGCAAAGATCACGTGCACATCACTGACAAATAAAAAATGAAACAACAAAAAAAACATTTATTTTTTTTACCTACGTGACTTTACCGAATAGAACCAAAGAGTATGGATCCTTGCAGTCACGAAAGCTTCAAATCTAGAACACATTAATACAGCCGCATGCGCTTATAAGCAACGCAATTTCGACGAAGCGGGTTATATTAATTTACAATTGCTTTCGTGTCGCGCACACTTATTATTGAAGCAACGCACTCTGGCGCGTTGGCCGTGGTGTATGGAACGCGCTGCAAGCAAATAATCGGGTGGTAAACTTCTGTAGCGATGCTGCCTGATGTGAAAGGAGCACGACAACAGCAAGCGAGGACAGCAGCATCTCCCGAAGCTCTTGTCCACCTGAACTTCGTCTTGTGCACGCACTTGTCTCTCAATCTACACCTCACTACGTGTTAAACATCTCGTTGTTTTTTGCCGTTTTCTGTTTTGTTACAAATAGGCTGTTACCATCTTTAATCCACGAATTGTAGTATCGTGAATACGATATGTTACTCTAACCAGGTAAATATGTATTACTTAAATGTGGAGACACACGAGTCAGCTTTCGTATGGACTTAAAGTTGCGTGTCATCAAGCACATGAATGTGGAGGGGGGAAATTGGAGGATCTGGCGACAAGTCCACGTGATCACGGGGAGAACATGCAAACTCCTAATATGCAGGCATCAGGGTCGGGATCGAACCCATGATACCTGCACACCAGGCGAGGCAGTTCACATCTCGCGACTGTGGCAACCTAAGCCAACCAGTCACCTCCACCGTGGGTAAAATAGGTGCATTTATTTTCAACGAAACATTCTCACAAACGAACCTCAGTAGCGTTTTGCCTTTTTTAATTTTGCATATTAGTTACACGGTAAAACACTTTTCCAGATTTACTGATACACCATCCATACACACGTTGACCCTATATTGCTAAAACACTATCTTATGATCTGTTATGGGTAAGGTGCATACACGACAGTGGCCACATTACTTAATATGCCGAAAATAACCTCCTACCCTTATTCTGTATGCACACTTGTGACAATCCCTCGTTATTCGCGAGGGATACGTTCCAGAGATGCTCGTGAAATCTAATTTTGTGGGTAATGACATTGGCGTACGAAAATCTATCCGAATTCCTGTGAATGAATTCCATTTTCTATTAATTCCTTTGAATAAATACGCAAATAGGCTTTCTCGCCAATCATTTTATCCCATCACTTTACATCATTACTTTATTTCATCACTTTCTCGCATCACTTCATCTCTCACCAACTCATCGCATCACGTTATCTCTCATCAAGTGATCTCAAAGCTTTCTCACATCACATTCTCTCGTGTCATTTCTTCTCGTCACTTTCATTCTCTTTTTTTCGATGCAGTTGTGGCGAGTTCCAGATGCTATTTGCGGATAGCCTAAATTGCAGATAGTAAGCACGTGATTAAAGAGGGAATCCATACTCTTTGGTTCTTTCGGTAAAGTCATGTAGGTAGAAAAAATAATAGATCACGACGTTTTGATCGCCACACAAGCAATCGTCTTGAGCTATGATTTTTTCCACCTACGTGACTTTACCGAAATAACCAAAGGGTATGGATTCCTGCAGTCACGAAAGCTTCAAATCAAATTTAAAGAGGGAATACTGTATGAATAAAAGCGACAGTGAAACATTTAAAATCGTTAATATTGTACTTTTCATATTTTTTTGAATTAAGAGTTAATTTGTCAATCCATTACTGGATGAAGACCTCTCGACACCATGTCAGTTATGGGGCTTGCTTAACTTTGCTTCGAGACAATTGGCCGGTGTTGTTTGGTGATGCAATGGGTGCCGGAACCAAATGCAATGCCGTTGTGATTTTCACGCGGTCACTGGTGACAGAGCTGAGACTATTATTGCCTTAGCGACATTTAAGAGCCGGGTTCAATCACCGGTTGGCTTTTCGGATTCATAAATATCTCGGACCCCGATATCTCTCATTGTTCAGTGCCCAGCATTCCCCGAACTCCCTGCATGTCCACCCACCACCTTTCTACGGAACTGCCTGGTGAAACTGCGCCTAATTTCTGCCGTTCGGAGGCCGTAGATGACGGGGTTCAGCACGGGCGGGAACACGTACTGCGCCATCTGGAGGGTGTAGTGCAGCGGCCTGGGGAGCGAATCCAGGAACGAGAAGCCGCTTGCATACGAGAAGAAAATAGCGGAGAAGAAGATGGAGACCACCAAGAAGTGGGTGCCGCAGGTCTTGAGCGCTTTCCTCTGGCCGCTGCGGAGGCCTGGCTTGCGGCACTCGTAGAGGATGAGCGCGTACATGAGGACTATCGTGCACGCGGGAAGCACCATAATGATGACCAGCGTTGCTTGGGCATAGGCCACGGGACCGCTCACGTCCCCGCATGACAAGAACAGCACCACGAGGTAGTCGCAGTACGGAGCGACGATGACCGGCGGCTTGCAGTAGTTGAGGGGGACCACGACGCTGAAGTTGCCCAGGCACATGAGAACGCACGAGGCCATCGTGGCCATGAAGGCGACGAAGGCCGTGCGGCAGGACATGAGAGAGTGGTACCTGAGTGGGTAGCCAATGGCCAGGTAGCGGTCGACGGACATGATGGTGAGGGTGAAGCTCTGCATTCTGATGGCCAGGTGCAGGAAGAACATCTGTGCCATGCACTCGCGCAGGCTGATGTAGTTGAAGGACGCGACGTTCTGCATGAACCGGGGCAGGATGCTGAGCGCCGAGATGATGTCGGTGAGCGACAGCGCGGCCATGAGCACGTACATTGCCTTGTGCAGCTGATGATCTCGAAGGATGACGAGGCTCAGGAGGCAGTTGCCCACGAGGGCCGCGGTGAACATGGCCAGGGTGAAGAAGAACGCCGCGAACTTGATGCTGGGAGGCTCTCGGAATGGGGTCACCATGAGGATGAGGTCGGTCATGACCAAGGAGACGTTTGAAGAGGCGTGTGTTGCCATAGCCGGGTGAGATCCTGATAGGGGAGGGTGGGGGCAAAGATTGGGGAGAGTACAGAAGGGGGGAGGGAGGAGGGTTCACAGTGAGAGATGGTGAAAATATCAAGACTCGTGCTGCAGCGATGGTGTTGACGGGCAGTGCAATGTATTGACCGATTGACGTGTCTCACAGTCCACGTGAGAATCGATTATTTATTATTCGTGCACATCATCTGATGGCCACTCGTGGAGAATAGTGACAGAGTGCCAGCCAAGAGAGGGGAATATGCCGGAGAGGCGTCCACCGTGCAGATGGAGTTCATGGGCACGTGATAGGTATATCGTTACAAAGCGGGGTGCATCACACTAAGCCTCTCAGTCGACGTGGTCGTGCATCTGTCCTTTCACAGATCCCCCTACTGGTACTTCCGGTTCTTGTAGCGACCCCCGGCGGTCACAGATAACATCACCGCTCGTTATTCTTGCCAAATTGTCTTCCATTTTACACTAGCCCACTATGTAATATAAACATGCCACGATATTATTAGCAACAGTAAACAGTAACAACGCAATTAACATGGTAACTCAAATAACAATAACTTACTAATGACGACCACTCCAGCGAATTAGATAAACTCTTTAACCTCACTAATTCACGTATACATCTGCTAGACGATGTGAATCAAATGCAGTCGCCAGAATCATCATACAGCAAACAATACTACAAGAACATGCACCGAATTAAATAACTCCAAACCCTCACAATCTAGACTTGATTCGAAGCTTTCGTGACTGCAAGAATTACTCTTTGTTTTTTTTCGGTAAAGTCACGTATAAATAAAAAATAATAAAATAACAATAGCGTACGACGTTTCGGTTGCAACACAAGCAGCCATCATCAGGTACAGAAGAGCTAAATTTATGAGAGAGAGAGGAAACACATAACCCCAGATGTATATACAGACACCTAAGTAGGGGGGAACTAACACAGATGCAACAGGGTACAACAGAGAGAGAAGCATACCAGACAATCAGGGTTTAGCAAAATTTGGAAACCATATAAAGCAACACAGACGGTCGGTCAAAACACAATTAACGCATAGTCTGGTTGATTACGCTATTTCAAAGATTGTTAAATTGCAAGTTAAGTATGAAATTTAAAATACAGACCGCGCACACACACATAGACATCCAAGTAGAATCTCTCTGTTGTACCCTGTTGTATCTGTGTTAGTTCCCCCCTACTTGAGTGTCGGTATATACATCTGGGGTTATGTGTTTCCTCTCTCTCGTAAATTTAGCTCTACTGTACCTGACGATGGCTGCTTGTGTTGCAACCGAAACGTCGTACGCTATTATGTTATTTTATCATTTCTTATTTATACGTGACTTTACCGAAAAAAACAAAGAGCCTCACAATCTAATTTGTGTAAACCGCATTCAACGTACCGTTCATCCTGAGATTATAATTCAAGGCTTCTGGGTCTGGAATTATTCTGAATTCACGCCCCTTGTTTTTTGGGAATCACTTGGCCTCCCGCTTGCGTCTAAATTGCTTCCCGAAACATTGGCGACTTTGAAGAAGATACTATGAATAGGCCTCAACGTGAACCCCAGTAATGGGCTTCGTTTGAGTTGGTGTTTCTCGACACGCTCATTAATTTTATTTACGTTTTATCACATGTTGCGCACATTTTCTCTTATTACCTCTCCGTGTCTAAACTAGACAACTTTCCTTTCGAAAATTCATGTTGCATATTTTTTGTCAAAATGTATATTTGTCATTTAACGTACAATTTTACTTTTGTATTATCTTACCTAGCCACGGCCACATCACACTGCAAAATCGCTTCGGCGCATCTCGCGCCTTTGCTCAACGCGATTTTGAAAGAGCACGTTCGATTAATTTACACTTACTTTCATCATGCGTGCACTATCATTGAAAGCAACATGCTCCAGTGCGTTGGGCCAAGGTGTACGGGACGCGTTTGCGAGCTCATTGCTAGTCAGGGGGGCAGAATAGTTCAGCAGAGATGCCGCCTGAGGTGCAGCAACATAACAACAACCACAAGCGCAGACAGAAGAATCAAAATCTCCCTTCTTGCGCTCCATTGTGGAGACAACCCTCCCCCCCCCCGTCCCTCTCTATCCCGTAACTCCGACTACTCTCCACTCTGTTAAATAGGCCGTTACTATCTTTAATTAATACGTGCACGGTAGTATCTTACATGTAACGTGTTACTGTAATCAGTGAAACGCGTCGATGTAAGTATGAGTGAGATTCGATGGCGTGCTCTCCCTAACCCGAACCATTCCATTTATTTGTTATGGGAAAATTTACGTTTAAATTTACGCGATTTTGCTTAATTGTTATGAACACAACCCCTGCGCGATACGAGAGCTATTTTGCATGTGCAGAGTACAAATAAAACGTGACCACTGAAGCTAACCCGCAGCAGCTTTAGAGACGTTGGGAACAAATATATATCCGGAATACAACCCCCGAATTGGACAGATTTCGCAAGCTGAGCAGGGTTTAGTCTGGATGATGTTTGGCCGGACTATCTCCGTGCACAGATAACGGGGCTAAGAGGTGTGACTGCTGCGGAACCGACGTGTTGAACGGTATGGGGCAGTGCAGCAATACACATCGTTGGACGGTGCATCTATGCTCCCCACCTGCACCACCAATCAGCACTGACCAGCGTGGTGATGGTGATAACAGGAAACCCGCAGAATTTTCGTTGCGAAAAGATGGCGAACACGTAGAGAGACTGATGATTTCATATGGAAAGATTGATCTTTCACACACACACATATAAATATTCCGAAAATACATTTGAATAATTATTCACGATTGCATCTCAATTACGATACATTTTGATCTTGTATCGACGATAAAAGCACGAACGAGAAGGCGACGCATCTTATCGACCCGATTCGTTTGTGTAGTCAACGCCTGGTGACAGAGCGTCAGGGAGAGGGTAGAACACGAACAAGACTCGTACAGGAGGGACGACAGGAATCTTCAGGAAACACACCCCGAGGAGGGTGCATTGCTCGACCGATTGCGACCGAGATTCGAGCGGCGCGCAACTCGTTGGCTTGCACGAAACGAGACGCCGCTTAATGCGGGACAATTAGGGGCTCTGCCTGGTTGGAAGCTCGGGGCTCAGGCGAAAACTGATTAAATTATTCACTTTTTCTAGTCGCGTCTAAAGAACCTCGGGCACCATACTCGAGCGGAATATGTCGCTTGATCACCCACGTGCCAAATATAGTCATGTCGGGAAAATGTCATGTCAGGGGGCTCCACGAATCATTCGACCACTATTGAATCGTGACACAGCCAACCACGGTGGAGCGCAGCGTAGTATGGACAAGGCTCGATTTATTGCAACTCACTACTCTACGGGACATCAGACAAATACAATTAAAAAATAACATTTCCAAGCTGCAGCATGTACAAACATTCGCTGGCACGTATCGTGATGGGCACTGCAAGATTCGACTGTGTCCATCCAGTGCTCGCAGAGCTGCTATTGGCTTTCGGTTGCCGAACAACTTACATTATAAAGTCGGACTCGTTACGCGCAAACTTTTTGCGCACCGTGCGTAGCCAACCGTGCTATTCACGTGCGCGGGGGAAGAACAAAAAACTAGACACATGAAGCCATTCTAAAGAAATTCGTTTTTTTTTTCTTCTAGATGATGATTTAAAAGTTCATAGATCCACTGGCTTCCTAATATTGGAAAGGGGAAGAGCGTTCCAGACAACCGCCGAAGCGTATCTGAAAAGCGCCGCGCGATGGGGTTCTTTGTTCGATGGCCAGGCAAGAGCCGCTGCTGCGGGGATTACCGGAGCTTGCGTGGTGGATTACATCACGCAAACGAGATCAGCGAGGCGTCGTTTATTAATTTGTGGCAAGCACTTTGGGTGCAACTAGTGAGAACCTCAGAATGTATTGGTACCTCAATCGGAAGGCAATGCAGTTCGGCGAGCAACTGGATGGACACGGTGGGATCCTGCAGTGCTTGCCACATATGGACCACAACACGTTACGGATCTCGTTTGAGGATTAAAAAACCATCGCGCAAACTGCGGTCATCCTCGCAGCGGAGGGTTTTGGCCAACCAAACTCACAAGAACGGTCACGGCATCGCGCGGCGCTTTCAGATGCGATTCTGCGGCCGTCTGCCACTCTCTTCCTTCCGATATTACGAAAGCTACTGGAGCTATGCACTTTTAAATCTAGATTTAAAAACGAATTTCTTTCGAGCTGCTTTTTTGTGTTTAGTCTGTCGTCCTTCCCCCAGACCTTCATTTAGCATGGTTGGCTATGTACGGCGTGAAAGAAGTTCAACATACATACATGCATACAAAACGGGGAGCATAGTCGCGAGTGGGTTTAATATATATTCTGATCATTTTACTAGCCTTGGTTCAGTTGATAGCTCTTTGCGCGAACCAACTCTACCACCACTCCACCACACCAATTCTTGACATGAGCTCAATTTTTTGTTTTATCTGCATCATTGCATTGACGCCGAGGCACTCATTGCAATGTCGTAGGACGCGTTGCAACGTTATTGAGAAAAAAAAAAAAACGGTCGGCAAATGCGTGATCATAACTGGAGTCGGTTTGAATGTTGCCGAGACTGATTGATAGGGTCCAGATTAGTGACGCAGATCGTCCTGATATAGATTGACAGGAGACAGATTGTCTGGAGACATATTGAGAGGAGACAGATTGACAGGAGACGATGTGGATGCCTTCACTGCGGTAGACAAAGTCGATACTTCACCTGCACCCGGGCGATTCCTGTCCCAGCGAAGCACCGGACAGCGCCAGGAGCAGCAGAAGCAGCAAAGTGAACGCGCAACTCGACAATGCTGCCGAGTCAATCTGCCCCCAGTCAATCTGTCCACCTACCGGTCAACCACCACACCCCCTTTTATATCCTTGACTCGCCTCGAAAATAAACACTGCGCAAAACTCCCGTCACCCTGGGACCAGATCCCCTGCCTCCCTCCACCCACTCTCTCTGTCCCTCCACCCCCTGACCACTCATCCACCCACTCCACCTACCCCACCCACACCACCCACCCAACCCCAACCCGGCCAACACCACCCTACCCCACCCTACCCAACCCACCCACCCACCCACCCACATCCACCCCACACCTCACTCACCCCACCGACCCTACCCCAGGAGAGGGACAAAAAGAAGAGCGGGCGGGGGGAGCCGTGCGGTTAGCGGTGGCTAATTGGCGACTTGAACCGAGCCAGGGTGGCGAGGCGACCACGTGGCCCCGTGGGGTAATGGAGGTGATGCGGCTGTTGTAAGAGAGGGAATTGATAGCGGTGGGGGGTGGTGGAGGGGGGGAGGAAGTGGGGGGAGGGGTTGGTTGAAAGAGGGGTGGGGGGGGGGGGAGGTGCTTTGCGTCACACCGAGGAACGCGAGCGAATGACAGAGAGAGAGAGAGGGAGAGGCAGAGAGATCATTTGTATTCGCTTAATAATGAGCATTGTGATGCTGCTGCTGCTGACGATGATTTTCCTTCCTGCTGACTTCTGATGCTGATGATAGTCGGTTGTGCAGCTCGTCACCACCTCCTCAGCTACATGCATAAATGAAAAAAAGTAAAGCCACTTTGAATGTTTGTTTTTGTTTTACTGAAACTCCCACCGACATTACAGGAACGTATATTGTTGCATACCCGACTGTGATTAAAGTCGTTTTACGCAGTGCACACACACACACACGCGCAACGAGACGTATGCAGATGACCTGGGGTGTGACACTGTGTCTTCACCGTGCAGCACGGTTTGGTTCCGGCTCGGTTCGACCATGGGCCAGTGGAAAACCACCCGTAACCGCGAGGGCTCCGTGCTGCCTCAGCTCAGTTGCGCCGAGACTCGAACCCACGTGGCCAGGCTCACAGCGCGATTCGCTGCCAACTTGTGCCCACCACTGCCAGTGGACACATTGGACAGCTCTTTCGTTAAATATACAGTCAAGCTGCGTAAGCGATCGCGTGTTGAAAACGTGGAATCGTTTCTTTCAAATGAATGACGTCACAATGCGTGTTTTTTTTTCTTTTTCGGGACACGCCACGTGTCATACCGTACCCAATCGACTGGCGGCGCTGCTGAACCTAATATCAGCAGCCACTGATGTAAGCCACGGCTGGATATCGAACTCAGATCGCCATATTCAGAGTGCAGTGCGCTAAACACAATACCAATAACAATATGAACATTTGCCAACGATTCAATGTGTAGTGACTTGTAACGTCACAATCGTGTACACACACACACGCGCACACGTGTGACGTCACTATGCGAGGGAGCATCACTACCACGCGGGTCTACACAAACGCACATGACGTCATGTCGTCTGAAGGCGGGGATGACGTCAGGGCCGGTTCAGGGGATCTGGAGGCCGTGGGTGAGGGCCACGGGGGCTGCGTGAGGCCGTGAACCCGGCTGGACACGTGACCGGATCAAAGTGGGGGCCGGGGGCCCGGGGGGCACCTTGGGGGGCCACGCGGACAGCCGAGCAGCTTCGAGAGGGTTCTCGAAGGAAGGAGCGGCCGGGGTGGGGCCCGGACACGCCGAGGCCCATATAAGCAGCATCCTCGTCGGGCTCGAGGCTGTCCGTGTCAAGAATGAAGATGCATCGTGAAGACGCCTCGTGAAGAGTCAAGCCTCCAGTCAGCGTGACCCAGCCAATAGCCCCCCTGGCTGGGTCACGCCAGTGGTATCCGAGAGTCCGTGTTAGTGAGAGATGGTGTGTGTTAGTTAGAATATGTCGGTGGTCACCAACCTATGCTAAGTGTACGTTGAGTTAATAAATAGTGTTGCCTCCCAAGAAGTTGTGTGCGCCTATCTTTGAGCCCCTTACAAAATGTAACAATGATTTAAGATAACACAGATGCAATAGGACAATAATGCAATACATCAACAGCGACATGTAGCATTGATTCGATTTGACAATAATTCAAATGCAAAAGGAACGAGGTTGTCAGTGTACTTGCTTGGATAAGTTTGAGTCCCTTTCACAATCGGGACCTGGAGGGGCATCAGACTGCCAGTAGCAGGGGGCGATGGCTGTATGACTAGGGTGATAAGTGAATGAGCGAGCGAGTTAATGAACGAGTAGGGGAGTTGGTGGGTGAGTGGGTAAATAGTGAGGGTGAGATAATGATAGTGGGCAAGTTCAATGTGATTCTGTATGACTAGGGTGAGAACTCTACAGACCAAGACAGTTGAGTCTCATTCGGGAGAGAGGGTGAAACGAGTGAGTGGACGAGTGAATGAGCGAGCGAGTTAATGAACGAGTAGGGGAGTTGGTGGGTGAGTGGGTAAATGGTGATGGTGAGATGATAGAGTGGGCAAGTTCAATGTGATTCTGGTTAACCAGCTGGGAATTCAAGCGACCAGGACAATGGAGTCACATTCGGAAGAGTGAATGAATGAGCGAGTGAATGAGCAAACGAGTTAATGAACGAGTAGGGGAGTTGGTGGGTGAGTGGGTAAATGGTGAGGGTGAGATGATGAGTGAGTGAGCAAGTTCAATGTGATTCTGTGTAACCAGGTTGGGAATTCAAGAGACCAGGACAGTGCGGTCTCATTCAGAAAAGTGAGTGAATGAGCGAGTGAATGAGTAGGTGAGTTGATGGGTGAATGGGTCAATGGTGAGAAGAAACGACAGGGTATAGGAGTCTCATTTGCAAAAGTGACATGCATCACCGAACCGGCAAAGGTAAAACCAATAAAATAAAACAGCGACCAAGCAAAGAGAGCATTCACCATGCGATATACGACTAAAACGTTACATCCACCGCAAACAAGCACAGCACAGATGCGGTATCCAACAAGCACGTGGTCAAAGCGGGTTCTCAAGTGTAGTAAATTCTGCCGGTCTCAGCCCCTGTCGGTCGCCAGTGGCTCTGCACGTCGTTCACATCGCCTCCGGCTCCACGTTTTTAGCGGACGACATTAGAAGAGATCTCAGGGGTGGGTCCATGACAATTGCCCACGTGGTCCGTTTTGTACTCCAAGAAAAGTTGGCGCTGCCCTACGGAGATTCGCACGGACACTTCATACCACCGCAATACACCAACAGCATATGCAGGATTTACAAGAAAACCATCGCATCACTGCATTTTAAGAACCTGGCTTAATCAAAGGCGGCTGCCTGGATTCACACCCACATCGATTATTATTTGTTATTTTAACTTTTTTTAAGGCGCAGAATAACAAAGGGCTTGAGAGCGCTGTACAGAATGAAGAAACGAAAGAAAAAATACATCTCTAGTTAATATATTGTAGGAAATATGTAGGTATATAGTTTCTTTATCAAGAAACCTCAGCGGTGAGGCACAGTTCTCCAGGCAGAATCTTCCCAAACTGAAGGCCAAGGACCGAAAGAGCCTGAGCTCCAAAAGTATTTTTTGCCGTTAGCGTGGCTGACAGAGAAGGACGGTATGTGAGCACTTCAAAGGCCCCTGCTAGAGGCCAGGCCTGGCAGGCTTCCATTGGTAGATGCTAGAGGCAGGTCTGGCAGGCTCTAGTGGTAGAGATGCTAGAGGCAGGCCTGGCTTGCTCCAGTGGTAGAGACACTCGGTTTTGCAGGTCTGGCCAGCTCTGGTGGATGAGATACTAGGGGCAGGCAATGCAAGTTCTGATGAAGGCACGGATAGTTGCTGCTTTTATGGGCATTTTACTTTTCCCGTAAAAGTTTTACTTTTCCGGAAAAAGTTAAATGATAATAAGCCACTCAGAACAACGTATTTATCTAAATATTTTTCGTGAAATTTTACTCTTGTGGTAATGTTGGATGTTCTGCTCTTCATTATAAATCCCAGTTTTCATATCTAAGAATTGACAACCCTAGTATCCCTACGAGAGCCATCTGGGTTTTGCATTGGCTCAAGTGAGCATGAAGCGGCTGATGAGACACTTTATTTTTTAACCAGTACACAGTTTTATTCTTGTGCTGAACCATTTGCTGCTGTTGAAATAATGGATAGCCAATGTTTCTAAATTGCTCAGTGCACCACGCCTCCCAATCTCTCCGCCTTTCCATCCACCACCTTCCCACGGAACCGCCTGGAGAAACTGCGCCGGATTTCCGCCGTCCGGAGGCCGTAGATGACCGGGTTCAGCGCGGGCGGGAACACGTACTGCGCCGTCTGGAGTGCGTAGCGCAGCGGCCTGGGGAGGGACTCCAGGAACGAGAATCCGCTGGCGAACGAGAAGAAGATGGCGGCGAAGAAGACGGAGACCACCAAGAAGTGGGTGCCGCAAGTCTTGAGCGCTTTCCTCTGGCCGCTGCGGAGGCCTGGCTTGCGGCACTCGTAGAGGATGAGGGCGTACGTGAGGACTATCGCGCACGCGGGAAGCACCATGGTGATGGCCAGCGCTGCTTGAATATAGGCCCTGGGACCGCTTAAATCCCCGCAAGACAGGAAGAGCACCACGAGGTAGTCGCAGTACGGAGCGACGATCACCGGCGGCTTGCACAAGTTCAGGGGGATCACGAAGCCGACGTTGCCCAGGCACGTGGCGACCGCCGCGGCTGTTGCAACGACGAAGGTCCCAACGGCCTTGCGGCTGGACATGAGCGAGTGGTAACTGAGTGGGTAGCCAATGGCCAGGTAGCGGTCGAAGGACATGATGGTGAGGGTGAAGCTCTGCATTCTGATGGCCAGGTGCAGGAAGAACATCTGTGCCATGCACTCGCGCAGGCTGATGTAGTTGAAGGACGCGACGTTCTGCATGAACCGGGGCAGGATGCTGAGCGCCGAGATGATGTCGGTGAGCGACAGCGCGGCCATGAGCACGTACATTGCCTTGTGCAGCTGATGATCTCGAAGGATGACGAGGCTCAGGAGGCAGTTGCCCACGATGGCCGCGGTGAACATGGCCAGGGTGAAGAAGAACACCGCAAACTTCACGCTGGGTGGCTCTCGGAATGGGGTCACCATGAGGATGAGGTCGGGCGTGAACAAGGAGAGGTCTGAGGAGGCGTTTGTGGCCATGGCCGGGTGAGAATCTGTGGCGGGGCGGGGGAGGGGTCACAGAGAAAAGTGGTCAAAATAACAGGACTCACGAAGCGGCGATGGCATTGGCGCGACCCGCAACAATTCACCGATTCATCAACGGGAATCGCGGCGCGCGAGCACGATGCACGTGTTGAATGGATGATTCATGATGCGTGTGAGTTGTACGTAAACCATACATCAGTGGGAAATCCAGGCTCACGGAAGTAAACATGTTTATTTACTGGAACTTCGCCAGCCTGCGGAAGACTTACCTTAGCTCCTGCAGAGGGCTTCTCAACGTTTCACGCCTCGCCCGTCGCCTTCATTGATGTCCTCTTCCCCCAACCCCCCACCCCCCCTCCAATCAACGTGTGCAGATACTACTGACTATTGTATGTAGGGTGTGTAGTAGACACTACTGACTCTATTGTATGTAGCGTGTGTAGTGGACACTACTGACTATTGTATGTAGGGTTTGTAGTAGACACTACTGACTATTGTATGTAGGGTGTGTAGTAGACACTACTGACTATTGTATGTAGTATGTGTAGTAGACACTACTGACTATTGTATGTAGGGTGTGTAGTAGACACTACTGACTATTGTATGTAGGGTGTGTAGTAGACACTACTGACTATTGTATGTAGGGTGTGTAGTAGACACTACTGACTATTGTATGTAGGGTGTGTAGTAGATACTACTGATTATTGTAAGTAGGGTGTGTTGTAGACACTACTGACTATTGTATGTAGGGTGTGTAGTAGACACTACTGACTATTGTATGTAGGGTGTGTAGTATACACTACTGACTATTGTAAGTAGGGTGTGTAGTAGACACTAGTGACTATAGTATGTAGGGTGTGTAGTATACACTACTGACTATTATAAGTAGGGTGTGTAGTAGACACTACTGACTATTGTATGTAGGGTGTGTAGTAGACACTACTGACTCTATTGTATGTAGGGTGTGTAGTAGACACTACTGACTATTGTATGTAGGGTGTGTAGTAGATACTACTGACTATTGTATGTAGGGTGTGTAGTATACACTACTTACTCTATTGTATGTAGGGTGTGCAGTAGACACTACTGACTATTGTATGTAGGGTGTGTAGTAGACACTACTGACTATTGCATGTAGGGTGTGTAGTAGACACTACTGACTATTGTATGTAGGGTGTGTAGTAAACACTACTGACTATTGTATGTAGGGTGTGTAATAGATACTACTGACTATTGTATGTAGGGTGTGTAGTAGGCACTACTGACTATTGAATGTAGGGTGTGTAGTATACACTACTGACTCTATTGTATGTAGGGTGTGTAGTAGACACTACTGACTATTGTATGCAGGGTGTGTAGTAAACACTACTGACTATTGTATGTAGAGTGTGTAGTAGACACTACTGACTATTGTATGTAGGGTGTGTAGTAGATACTACTGACTATTGTGTGTAGGGTGTGTAGTAGACACTACTGACTATTGTATGTAGGGTGTGTAGTAGATACTACTGACTCTATTGTATGTAGAGTGTGTAGTAGACACTACTGACTATTGTATGTAGGGTGTGTAGTAGACACTACTGACTATTGTATGTAGGGTGTGTAGTAGACACTACTGACTATTGTATGTAGGGTTTGTAGTAGATACTACTGACTAATGTATGTAGGGTGTGTAGTAAACAATACTGACTATTGTATGTAGGGTGTGTAGTAGATACTATTGACTATTGTATGTAGGGTGTGTAGTAAACACTACTGACTATTGTATGTAGGGTGTGTAGTAGATACTACTGACTATTGTATGTAGGGTGTGTAGTAGACACTACTGACTATTGTATGTAGGGTGTGTAGTATATACTACTGACTATTGTGTGTAGGGTGTGTAGTAGGCACTACTGACTATTGTATGTAGGGAGTGTAGTAGATACTACTGACTATATTGTATGTAGTGTGTGTAGTAGACACTACTGACTCTATTGTATGTAGGGTGTGTAGTAGATACTACTGACTATTGTATGTAGGGTGTGTAGTAGATGCTACTGACTAGTGTATGTAGGGTGTGTAGTAGATACTACTGACTCTATTGTATGTAGGGTGTGTAGTAGACACTACTGACTATTGTATGTAGGGTGTGTAGTAGATACTACTGACTATTGTATGTAGGGTGTGTAGTAGATACTACTGACTAATGTATGTAGGGTGTGTACTAAACACTACTGACTATTGTATGTAGGGTGTGTAGTAGATACTACTGACTATTGTATGTAGGGTGTGTAGTAAACACTACTGACTATTGTATGTAGGGTGTGTAGTAGATACTACTGACTATTGTATGTAGGGTGTGTAGTAGGCACTACTGACTATTGTATGTAGGGTGTGTCGTATACACTACTGACTCTATTGTATGTAGGGTGTGTAGTAGACACTACTGACTATTGTATGTAGGGTGTGTAGTAGACACTACTGACTATTGTATGTAGGGTGTGTAGTATATACTACTGACTATTGTATGTAGGGTGTGTAGTAGACACTACTGACTATTGTATGTAGGGTGTGTAGTAGACACTACTGACTATTTTATGTAGGGTGTGTAGTAGATACTACTACTATTGTATGTAGGATGTGTAGTAGACACTACTGACTATTGTATGTAGGGTGTGTAGTAGATACTACTGACTATTGTATGTAGGGTGTGTAGTAGACACTACTGACTATTGTATGTAGGGTGTGTAGTAGATACTACTGACTATTGTATGTAGGGTGTGTAGTAGATACTACTGACTAATGTATGTAGGGTGTGTACTAAACACTACTGACTATTGTATGTAGGGTGTGTAGTAGATACTACTGACTATTGTATGTAGGGTGTGTAGTAAACACTACTGACTATTGTATGTAGGGTGTGTAGTAGATACTACTGACTATTGTATGTAGGGTGTGTAGTAGGCACTACTGACTATTGTATGTAGGGTGTGTCGTATACACTACTGACTCTATTGTATGTAGGGTGTGTAGTAGACACTACTGACTATTGTATGTAGGGTGTGTAGTATATACTACTGACTATTGTATGTAGGGTGTGTAGTAGACACTACTGACTATTGTATGTAGGGTGTGTAGTAGACACTACTGACTATTGTATGTAGGGTGTGTAGTAGATACTACTACTATTGTATGTAGGATGTGTAGTAGACACTACTGACTATTGTATGTAGGGTGTGTAGTAGATACTACTGACTATTGTATGTAGGGTGTGTAGTAGACACTACTGACTATTGTATGTAGGGTGTGTAGTAGATACTACTGACTATTGTATGTAGGGTGTGTAGTAGACACTACTGACTATTGTATGTAGGGTGTGTAGTAGATACTACTGACTATTGTATGTAGGGTGTGTAGTAGACACTACTGACTATTGTATGTAGGGTTTGTAGTAGATACTACTGACTATTGTATGTAGGGTGTGTAGTAGACACTACTGACTATTCTATGTAGGGTGTGTAGTAGATACTACTGACTATTGTATGTAGGGTGTGTAGTAGACACTACTGACTATTGTATGTAGGGTGTGTAGTAGATACTACTGACTATTGTATGTAGGGTGTGTAGTAGACACTACTGACTATTGCATGTAGGGTTTGTAGTAGATACTACTGACTATTGTATGTAGGGTGTGTAGTAGACACTACTGACTATTGTATGTAGGGTGTGTAGTAAACACTTCTGACTCTATTGTATGTAGGGTGTGTAGTATACACTACTGACTATTGTATGTAGTATGTGTAGTAAACACTACTGACTCTATTGTATGTAGGATGTGTAGTAGATACTACTGAATCTATTGTATGTAGGGTGTGTAGCAGACACTACTGACTATTGTATGTAGGGTGTGTAGTAGACACTATTGACTATTGTATGTAGGGTGTGTAGTAAACACTACTGACTATTGTATGTAGGGTGTGTAGTAGACACTATTGACTATTGTATGTAGGGTGTGTAGTAGATACTACTGACTATTCTATGTAGGGTGTGTAGTAGACACTACTGACTATTGTATGTAGGGTGTGTAGTAGACACTACTGACTCTATTGTATGTAGGGTGTGTAGTAAACACAACTGAATCTATTGTATGTAGGGTGTGTAGTAGACACTACTGACTCTATTGTATGTAGGGTGTGTAGTAGACACTACTGCCTCTATTGTATGTAGGATGTGTAGGCATATATACCTACAAAAATACATTTTTTTTTTGCGGGGGGTCGAAAATTTTTGTAAACCTGTTGGATCAACATTTTTATCCCCACATCTGGGGGCGGGGGGGGGGGGAGTGGTCCACTATGTCTAACGTTTTGATTCAAGCTTTCTCAAAGCCTCTCATAAATAGTTGACGGACAAACGGAACGCCGGGCTTTCATAATAGAAATGCTGAATGAATGGAAAATTACGTATTTCTGGATAATGGATGAAACGGTATTTGATGAAGCAATATTTAGATTTATTACACCGGTCCAGAAGGCTCTCATAATTTAGTTTACTGACAAACGGAATGCCGGGCTTTTATCATACAACGTGAACAGAATGCACAAGAAATAATGTATCTTTAACAGAACAAACGAGTCACATTTAACAATTGGGTCCGTATGGTTTGGTTCATAGTCATAGCTGCAGCATCATCACCAAGACTGCTGCAGCAGCATAATCAGGTCATTCGCCAGAATTGCGAAAACGTCCTCCAGTCTTGGGCCTTAAATAGGCACTGGTGTGTGACGTCATCAACGTACATCCACATGAGAACATGACGTGATCAATAAAATTGCATACATTTGAATAGATCATGCTACGTAAGAATGAAATACGGTGTTATATGTTAATATAAAGATATATATATAGGTTTTACCCTTTCTGGCAATCAAACTGTTGTGTTAAGATGTTGAAACACCAAATAGATACTTTTGCAAAGAGTCAAGTTACTGCATTAACCACACACAGTACTTGTAGTGAACATGCAAACAAACATGCTATGATGATAGAAGGCATTGTGTTTGAAACTGATTGGCTTACACCAGAAACAGCTTTTTTGCTTCATGGCCTAGTCTGTTTTAACACCTGTTTTATTGGCAGACACGATTAAACCTATTATTTGTCATACTTTGAAACGGCCCCATGATATCTATATACGTGGTGATATACGTTGTTCGTAGTTAATGAGTTATGCTAAATGGTTAATAAGGTTACGCTATCATCATTAAACCTCATTTGCCAGTACCAAAATGTAATAATAGGGGTTTTCCCCCTTTTTATGGCAAGAAGACTGAAACCTTTTTACAAGG